TAACAGCTTTCCTGCTAAATTTAGAAGGGCTTGAAGCAGACAAGTTCAGTGTGTCTGGCAGTAGCATGTGATGAGTTCACGAAGGTAGGTTATGGGGTTACCAGGCCACTGTTACGGTTCGAGTGTCCCTGGGACTCTGTCGATGCTCATGTGAGTGGCTGAACATAAGAGCCAGAGGCAGCTTCTAAATCAGTGATGATGTCCTCACCTCCAGCATGGTGAACCTTGTGGCACTTAAGAAGGAGCTCTTTTGCTCTTTTTACCACTGTTATGAAGACGGCTCTTGCACTAATGCAGAAACTGAACTGAAAGTGAAATTAAGTGCAGAATGGTGGCAGGCCGGGAGCCAACCGTGCCATCTTCTCATTGCTCCTTGCCCTTTGGCAGTCCCCTCCTTCAGGGAGTGGTGATTTGGGAATGCTCTGACATTTCAAAAAGTGTGAGCACCAGGTCTGTGCAAACACTGCCCCTTAAAGATCACGGGCACAAGGGGCTTTTACAAGGCTGCTGAATTTCCTAGTGTGGGTGTTCCCTTGAGCAGGTAGTAACAGAAGACCCAACTCTATCTTGGGCAGCAGTGGGGGTACATCTGGTATCTTGGCATGTATGACTTACTGGCATGTGTGACTTACTAGGCATTAGGTTCAAGCACGTGTGCTTTCCAAGACTCATACTTGTCTTGAGTAAAGCAAGTTAAAAAAAATAGAACAATAAATTTTGCTTTGGGAGGGAGATGAAGAAAGATGAAGCAAAGTCTATGGGCACATTAACTCTGTCAGATCAGAATAGGCAAAAAGAGGCTGAACATTCTGCGATGGAGATGATGATAGTCAACCTTATGGAGGTCCCACACAGTCTGTTGGCTTAAAGGATGATGTGAGTAGTGGAGGGAGGTGAGGAGGGAAGAGAGGGAAGTAATCCGTTTTGCGCCAGTGAACATGCAAATACTCTGGTTTTGTGTCCTGCATTTCTTCCATGCAGGAAATGGAGCCAGTGTGATGGCTAGGTCACACCGTGCTTGTCGTGTCCCAGCACAGCATGGTAGCAATGTACAGCTGGGGACCCTAAAGATCTTGGGAAACATCTTATGGTGAGGAGGGCCAGGTGATGACCACCAAATGCTAGTGCCATCATCATTTCTGTAAGGATGTGAAAACCCAGGGGAGAGAAAATACAAAGGAAAGAGGAAAAACACTCTTAGCTTTGCACACCAGAAACTTAGAGTGCTGCTTCTGACCTGGCCTGGAGCTGGGGGATAGCTCCCAAGAGATCTCCAGATCTGCAGATTTGACTCTTGGCAAAACCACTTGTCTTCTCTCTAACGCTGGGTGACTTTCACTTGGAAAGTTTCCTGTGCGCACAAGAGCACGGGGAAGGGCAGTGCTTCCTGTTTTTCTACGACATTGCTCCCTCCTCCGGTTTCTTGGGCAGGCTGGCAGTTGCTATCGCGTCTGGGTGAAGTCTCTCCTTTGTTTGCTCTACTGTTTCGCCAGACTGACTTTCCTAATTTTTTTTTTTATCTTTGCATTTGTTCTCCGACTGCCACGTTGCCCGTACGTTCATAGGGCAAGGTGACGTGAGGAACGGCCAGGAGCACAGGTGTGGGTTGCTTGTGACAGATCCCAGAAAAACAAATAGCTGCATGATATACGAGTTGGTTTTGTGGTTACATGTAGGATAAGGATCTTTTTCAAGGCATCTTTTCCTTGCTTACTGCTGCAGAACAGACATTGTCCACTTCAACACCTTTGTAGTGGATATTATACCTGACAGTAGTGTTTGTGACTAAACTGAACAAAGTCACACAGTTACCTTTGCTCGACGGCACTCTTGCATATTGATCTATTCATTTTATAGGTAATGACCAATAAGTGATTCTCTGTGATGCAAGACGTAAAAGCGGATCTAGCCTCAACCACAATTGTGTGGTTAAGAGGCAACAGTCTTAAGAGTTGACTTCCTCACTCTTTCAAGGAAGGGTCTTGTGCCTTTAAAAAGAAAACCAAACACGCACACAAAAACTCCTCAACAACAAAAGCCAACATCTATATATAATATGCAAAACCTACAGGGGACCGCGCAGGCTGACATGATGTCACCGGCTTTCTCTGCCAGCCTTTCACACGCCTCAGAGGCGAAGACGCTTTACAGCACAGCTCTGTGGTTTTGCGTGCAATTCCATGGAGCTGTGCTCAGGGTCACGGGGCTGCCGCGGCTCCCCGGCCAGCCCGGCTCTGCGGGAGAGGTCTGCTTGCAGACTAGAAGTGGTTAGTTGGATGCAAAACTTCTCCTGTTGCCATGCTTAATGCTGTTGGTTTTTTGAAGTCCTTGCCAGGCAGGGTTGGGGGAGGTCTGCTGAATACAGTATCTATGTGAGAAGAAAAATAGCCTATTTAAATGTCAGTAGCTAAGCCCAATTCCTGCGTGAGAGTGCATGCATATAGTTGTGAAGTATGAGTAATAACACAAAAGACAGGCTTCGGAAATGAGACCTCATATTTAAATATCTCTAAAAGTCTCGGCTGAGTGTAAGGCCCTTCCAAATGTACACTGTCTGTGTAAGCACAGCTGGGATGCTTACCCCAAAGGGCAGGGGAAGGACTGTGCCAATAGAAAGCATCTTTGCGCTGCATCTGCCATTGCATTATACTGAAGAATGTTTGTTTGCTTTGTTTTTAAAACTAAGCCACGTTACTTCAAATGCTGTTGCTATGCGCAAAGAGAGAACAGAAACTCAGTGGATAAAGCTGGAGTACATCTCGGTGCAGTGAGAATGTCCAGATGAGTGGGTTAGGCTCTGAAGTGCTGGCATGGGAAAGCATGAGAAGCTCCCTTTTTTTAGTCCGTGGTAAACTTGCCAGCAGCAGAGCAGGACTTCATTGGCTTTAGGAACTTTTTGTGACTTCCCTGATATCATCTGTTCCAGGATCGGGCTCCTCAGGTAGCCGTTCCCCCTGAACAACTGCCTGCTTTCTGGCTGGGTTGACAGGTGACAGATGTTTGCTGATCTTGATCTAGCTTGTATTTTATATGCTTTTTTGTTTGATTATTCTAGCACGCGCAAACATGTTGCAGTACTTGGATCACCTCAGCCTCCATATAAAGCTTCAGCTAACTCCTTCTATACTAAACAAAATGTGATTCCAGGGAAGCAGTAATGATTGGGATGCTGGCTTAGGTGTTCCTGTTTGACCAGTCCTGCCAAGCACAGCCAAAGGACGATATTGATGGTGGTATGAGCTGTCAGAGAAACTCATCCTAAAGAGCAGCAGTCGATACTTTGGTTTCTTCCTATACCAGATACTCATGTAGACAGCCTGAGTGGAATAGCATTAATACCATACCTTATCCACTGTCAGGTAAAATTGTACCTGCTCTGTGATTAAGCTTATAAAGGATAAACCCACAAAATAGCACTAGCTTCAGAAATGGCTCCAAAAGTCCTGCAATGTCTGGGTGTTGTCCTGCAACAAGTAACGTTTGCAAGAGATGTGTGGAGTATAGTATGTCAACTACTGTCTCTGACAATTTAGGAGTTCAGGAGTTGTGTTAGTGCACTGTTACTGGTGCCCCAGCGATCTAAAAGCAACAACTTGCTGTTGCTGGCGTTTGCCCTTTAGAAATGAGTACTGTGTTCAAGTTTACCCAAATAAATTTGCTTCTCTGCAGGCAACATGGTGGAGTGGTGTTTACCCCAGGATATTGATTTGGAAGGCGTGGAATTCAAATCCATGGCAAGCGGGTCCCACAAAATCCAGTCGGATTTCATGTGAGTATGTCTGAGCTTCTTTCTCTTAGCTGTATGTCTACACCAGCATCCCTTAGAACATGCAAGAAAAATATCATCTATGAAGTGCATAAACATGCTGCTAAACTGTATCTAGCTGAGCCAAAGATACTCTTCAGGTACTCTCAAGATCATACCAAGTACCAGCTAGCTGTGGGGATCTGCTGCATGACAGCTTCGACTGCGGAGACCAACTCGTGAATGGGGCAGGCCAGCTTCTCAGTGGTGTGCAAATTTTAATGTGTGTTGGGCAAATCATACTGCACTGCCACTATTGGGACTGTCAGCAGAGGCCTAGGGTGGAGGGGAAAGGATGGCAGAACTGAAATGGGAAGGATTTTGCAGGAACTGGACTTAGGAAAAGGTTCTTAATTCTACCAGTGCTTTTGGATCGTTAAATGTTGTGATAAACAGTTCTTGCTCATTTTCTTCTTTTCTAGCCTTCCTTCAGCGGAAAGACATAAAATAGGAATTTTCTGCATTTCCATCCTTTCACTAACCCAGTGCTGTAACGCAGCAACGTTTTGCAAGGAATTGCAATGTCACAATTCCTTTTGGTCAGGAATGACAGTTACTTTCTCAAAGGCATGTGAACCCTTGCACTCAGCTAGAGTATGCTTCAACGTGCTGGCACCCAAAGTACGACTGGGTAGCTAGATGATACTCAGAACTTCAGGCACTGCAGGCTTTTCTTCCTTGGAAGAAGGGCACTGCATTGACTGGGTCCTGCATCCTCTGTTGGTCTTCCTTCCAGGTTCTTTCCTTACCTGTGTTCCTTACCAGCCTGTGATGAGGCTGGTAGGGGCTTTAGTGGGAACTCTTGTCTTAAATGTCCTGTCTTTTTCCTGAGAAGAATAGGACACCCAAGGCCTGTCCTCAGCCCTTCAGATAGCAGGGTGGGATTTCGGAGGGTTCCTTAAAGAAAACTGTGTTCCCAAATCAGTATTTTTAGCAATCGGTTACCTTTTTTTCTTCCCTTTCCCTCTTTTTAACATTAACCCTTCTGTCAAACATTTGTCTCCAGTTATTTTCGGAAGGGGCTCTGTTTTGGCCTCGCCTGCTTCGCCAACATGCCTGTGGAGAGTGAGTTAGAGCGTGGTGCCCGCATGAAGTCCGTGGGGATTCTCTCCCCTTCCTACACCCTGCTGTATAGGTACATGCACTTCCTGGAGAACCAGGTCAGGTAAGTTCCCTTGGGAATGGGACTGGCCGCTCCCTGCCTGGAGGAGGTAAAGTTGCCTCAATGGAGAGCAGTTTTAGGTGTGAGTGAGAACTTGGCTACAATGCTAAGCTATGATTTCCTTGGGTGACTACTTCTTCAGAAAGACTTACAGGTTCACAACGGGAAGGAGACAAGGAACTGATTAGCAGCAGTCTGTTCATTGCTAACAGGCTAGTCAAATCCTATCCAAACCCTACTTATTTTGTGTGGACGTGTCAAGGGGAGAGTTGAGAGGACAAGAAGTTCCCCTGCTCTCCTTCTGAAAAACATTTTACTAAGGGCTCACAAAAGGCTTCTGAACCTACAATGGTGATCCTGGCTAGCTGTGTTGAGTGGACCTGGCAGGGAAAATGGTGATGGTGGAAGGGAAAGCTGTTCCTACATGAGTGTATTTAAAACAGGATCAGTATTATGCATATATCAGCTCACCGTCTGCTTCAGTCCTGCCCATGTTCTCTGGCTGCACTGAAAGCTGGTGTTACTCCTGACGCTTCGGCTGCCCACCTGGATAAGTCTGTGCAGCTGAGGCACCCAGGGCTCCTTTGCTAGCTGGGAAAGCAGATGTTGGCTGGGGGCAAGACACAAAATAAGTGGAGTCTGGAGACACTACAGATCTCCCCTTTTTTCCTTTCTTTTCCAGACACCAGCTGGAGATGCCAGGGCACTACTCCCATCTAGAGGCGTTCTATGATGACAAGAAAGGAGTTCTCCCTGATAGCAAGGGCACCCTCATCTCTCAGCAACCTGTCCACTGGCTGCCATCAATCCACAGATACATGTACCCAGAGATGAAGGTGAGGCAGGTGCTCTGAGGCTTGCAGGAATGGGCAGTGTGCTGCTGCTCCTTGCTGCTTGCTCCTACTTTTTTATATAAGCAGTCACTCCAGCGCTTTGTAGGCTGCTTCAGATAAGATTTTGTTACTTGAACTGTTAGAAGCTGCAGTTTTCTGTCATTGCTCTGTTCTGGTCTTGCTCCCACATTTAGACTTAGCATCTGTGCATGTGTCCCTGTTTCACCTCTGAGCTGTTTTCTTCCCTTTCCCTCCACCTGCAGATCACACACCCTGCTGGCTGTATGTCTCAGTTCATCAAATTCTTCGGTGAGCAGATCCTTGTCCTCTGGAAGTTTGCCCTGCTGCGCAAGCGCATATTGATATTTTCACCACCCCCAGTTGGAGTTGTCTGCTATAGAGGTATGTTTCCAGGGACAACGCAGAGCTCTGATCTAGTAGGCTGAAGCACTGCAGAAATGCCTGTGGAGACTGAGGGGATAGACATCATGCAGGTCTTCAAAATCCATCGCAACTGTTCCTTGTGAAGATACCGTTCTGCCTGCATTTACCCATTTCCTACAAAATGCTTTTCTTCAGGCCTTTCGGGTGAGGACATACCTGGCACTGTCAAACACAGTTCCTGTCAGCACAGGACAGTAAGAGCGCTGAATGAATTTGTGAAATCTAGAACATGGGATTCCTGTGCGAGAACTGATTATTTCCTGTCCAAAACAGGATGTCCCCACTTGAGAAGTTCTGGTGTTCAGGGGCATTTCAAAGTTGCAGCCATTGTTTTCATAGAAGCGTGTGGGAGTACTGGGTAAGTGGGGTTCAGAATGCCCTTGAGGGAATACTGAAAGCATCTCAGAATGTACTTCTCTTGTCCGCAGTGTATTGCTGCTGTTGCCTTGCCAATGTTTCTCTGCCTGGTCTTGGAGGAACTGTGCCAGAGTCCAAACCATTCTTTTATGTGAATGTGGCAGACATAGAAATGCTGGAAACAGAAGTATCATATGTGGCCTGTAAGTATGATGGATTAGGCATGACGTTTTTAACTTCAGTCTGCAAAATGTCTTGAGACGCCAGACTGTGTAATAAAACTGATGAAAAATAGGATGTGCACAGAATGACTAACTACGAAAGCAGGAGAGAACAATTGGTGTGCTAGGAAAGCAACATGCTGCTCTGAAAATCTTCTCTGATTTTGGCAGGTACAACAGAAAAGATCTTTGAGGAGAAACGGGATCTCTATGATGTCTATGTGGACAACCAGAATGTGAAGACACATCATAAGCATCTGCAACCACTCCTGAAAATTAACAATGCTGACAAGGAGAAGTACCGACGGCTCAATGACCAGAGGTAATAACAGACATCTAGGTGGTCCCAGCCCTGATAGGAGAGCAGTGTGATGTGGGACCAAGAGGACACTGCTCTCTTGTACTTTCCTTCTTGTCTTGGTATTTTCAAAGTTTCCCGCTGCTTCAGCTCGTCTCTTTGCGATTCTGGTTCCACTGTAGCTGACTGGTATGAGACCCCCTGGGCAGCCTGCACACATCCAGTCACTCCGTCAGTGAGCTGATGCAGCAGGTAGAAGGCAGGAAGGGAAGCAGAAGTTGCATCTCGCCATTGGTTCACCACTGATCAGTAACAGAACTGAAAACTGCCTGCTTTCTAGTCCAGTGCCTTATGAAGACTACACTGTTGCCTTAGATACTGGGGCAGCAGTGTTAGTCTGATTGGTCTCCAAGAAATGGATGTAAAGCTTTCAGTTGTAGTCCTTGTCTTCTAATAATGCTTTGAGGTTCACCATAGGTTTGTGCAATTAATCTGTCTCCCTTCCCACAGGCAGATGTTAATGTATTCTCAAGAAGTGGGTGAGGATTGTAGCTCCTGTGAAGAGGACCTTTTCATCTTGTGAGTGGCTACATCTAATAGTTGGTCGCTGTTAGGTTTAGGGAGCCTCTTTCACTGATTTCATGTTGCGCTGGTTTGGCATATTATGAAACATCATGGTTAACATAATTCCATAGTCAGCTCTCTTCTAGGGATCCAAGAACCAAACTGGCTATTTCTCTTCAGAGTATCTTCCTTTCAATTTGAGAAGCCAAATGCAGCCATATTAGTCTCCACTGGGGTCTCTTACATGCTGGGAGGGAGAAGGGAATTTTAAAAACACAATTAGAAATGCAAGAATCCTCTCCCATTTTTGAAAACATAAGCACTATAGGACTTTTCATGCCAGAATATTTGGCTCAGGAAGGGACAATGTCCATGGGAAGCAGGCACTGTACCATGCTGGGTGTGGAGATAAGACCTGCATGTGAAGGCCTGGTCCATTGATGTGGCTGGCTTTGTACTTGGCAAACAGAGGAACCAGAACTGGGTGTAGAGTATGAGGTATGGAATTAGATGAAAACCACACCTCTACCACCTCTGAAGCCCTTCGCTGCCTGTTGCTATTCACAGTCTGCAGCAGGTGAGAAGTAATGGGATGAAACTGTGTCAAGGGCTGTTGGGGCAGAGCTCTCATCGTTGAGCTGCACAGATGTAGTCAGAGCTCTTTCTGAACAGTCTTGCATGTTCCTAGGAAAGCTCTAGGTAAGAAGTAGCTCTCATTGCTGTGTTCTGCACCAGTAATGGAGAATTTATTTACTCAGTGGCTTACTAGATGGATGACAACACTGTTTCCTCTTTTGCATTGTGGGAGCTGTAGGTCTGAGGTACCCACTTGGTTACCACAAAGTGCACGTTAGCTGATAACGTGGCTTGCTTCTGAAGAGTGAAATGCCTACCATAAATCAGCCAGACAGAAGCACCGCTGTAAATTTAAAGTTACTGCTTTATCTTTGTTTATTCTGGGTCATGCATAGGGTGGATGGAAAACTACGACAGTGTCACCCAAGAAGGTGGGATCTATGATTAAAGGAGTTTGAATGCAGTTCTGGGGCTCTGCTGCCTGTTTGGTAAATATGCTATCTTTTGAGGGGTCCTATGCCATCATCTGAGCTGATTCTATCCTATAGGTTTTTCATGGAGCAGAACAACCGCATATTTCAGACGCTGATGGAAGTGTCAGCCAGCCAGGACAAGACACTGACGGCTGACCACGCACGAGGCATGGGCCTGGATCCCCAAGGGGATTGGAGTTTCCTTATGGACCTGCTGGAAGTGTATGGCATTGATGTTATGCTGGTCATTGACAACCCCTGCTGCATTTAAACCAAGGGCAAGAGAAATGGGGAGCAAAGATCACTTTTTAAAGACTACCAGACATTGCTTAGGAGGATCACTGGAACTCACCACAGCCACTGGACGGATCTCATTTTATTTAATAACTTTATATGGAGAGTATTTATAATTTTAAATTAAGATGTGATTTTATTTTCTCCCTCTCAACTTCCCAATGAGTACCTGCTCCAGGTTTTGTTTGTTTATTTGTTTGGTTTTGTCTCCCTTTTTCTTTCATTTGTGGTTTTTTGTTTTGTTTAGATAGGACCAGTGGCACCTTTGCACCGATCCTCACTGCTGCCAGTGACTGATAGCTAGGTTTTGGCCTAGCCTGGATACCTGAGGGCTGAAGACTTCAGGAAAGCACTTTGTCTGATAGGGACCAATGTGAAATGCTGTAGCTGAGCTCTTGAGACTTGACTGGAAAACTCTCTTATCATCCCCTCTTCCACTTGGGGACCGAAGAGAGCTTCAGCACAGGCTGTTAGTGGCCCAGTCTCATAAAACATCTGTCCTACCATGTTCGTTGGTGGGGACAGTTAAACCAATGATAAAAATCAGGACTCCTTTAAACACCCCTCACCCAACTTTTAGCAGCTGAGTTGGAATAAAGCCACCCTTCCTCGTCAATGGCAGAAGCAAGTTTGGGAAAAGGGAGTGCTACAGGATCTTATGACTTTGCTTACTGAAGTGTCACAGTTTCACTTCCAGCATTTGAGGTGGTATAAACTGACAAAGACTATACCTACCTAGCTCATAGCTGGAGAAGAGCACCATCTCTACTTAATCCCTCCTACCACTTCCTCTGGTTTTTAGTTGCATCACACCTGCTGCTTTGGTTTAAAATCTTCAAACCAGCAAGATGGTCTCCTATTTAACAGGATCAACATCACTGAGCCACCTTGCAGTCACTATGTTCTCCAGCTTCAGCTCAGATGGTGCTGGGCTGGATTGGGTTGAAGTATGCTTTAACTAATGTCACTAGCCCTTCCTTTGTAGCAGATGGTACTTGTCACTCCTTTGCTTTAACATTGTCTGCTGATCCTCCTTTGGTCAAGCAGCCCTCAGCACTGCCTGCTGCTGTCCTTGGCTTTGCGTGTGAGATGATAGAGAGGAGTATGTGACCTTTCAGCTGGAATGGCTTTGCAGTTTGCGGGAGGTTCCCTCAGAGTTTGGTGTTCTTAAATGGCACAGCTGCTGGAAGCAATGTCTAACTGCAAGCTTGCTTTTTTTTTTTTTTTTTTTTTTTTTTTTTTTGTCCTGGGCAGAGAAGCTGTAGAACCAGATGACCAGTATTTTCTTATTCTTGTGCTGTGGAAAGAATAGGATTCAGTTCATGAGGGACCAGTGGTTACCTCCAGGAAGCCTAGCCTGGTCAACAATAATCCCTTCACCATGCGAAACTCAAGAATGGTACTGTGGGTTCTAGGTGTGACATACTGCTTTGCCCAAAATCCTTCAGCCAGTGGTAGCATCAGCTTTAAGCTAACTGTTCTTCCTGAACTGCAGCTATAGCTAATTAGCTGCTGCTTCTACCATAATAGATTTCAGCCTTTCTGTAGTTTGTAGAAATGCAGACTGTAGCTGATGTATCCATTTATCCTAGCATTTTACAGAATGAGATAGAGCCTGAACCATCAAAGTGTCACCCACTAATTCTTTTTAAAACAGGTGAAGCACATGTCCGCCAAGTCGACCCTCTGTGGATTGTCTGCCTCTGGAAGGAAGGTGGCTGGCATGTCCTGTTTTTCCTTGCAGGCTATATCTGCAGCAAAGGGATCGTTTTGCTTGCTGTAGATTCAGAGATTTTAGTGAGGTGTGGGATCAGGGGCCTCACAAGGCTTATTGCAGAGTTCACTGGCATGAGCTTCAGCATATTATGTTCCTGTGATCTGCCTGTCCCTGAGCAGTTGCTGCCCTGCCTGCTTTTTCAGGGACTTTGATGTTTTTATACAAGAGAAAACATGCTGCTGCTTGTATTGCTCACAACTGTAGTGGAATCATCCTTAGAAGGTTGGGGGGGGGGAAATGGAGAAAGAGGAAAAAACCAGAGCTGAATATCAGTTAATGGAAAGACCAGTCTTAAATTGATGCCTCTAGTATATGTGACCCACACGATCTCTGCTTTTTTCTAACTTCCACTTCAGGTTTAACATGCTGTCTGCAGTGAAGACCCCAGAGGAAGTATAGCTGGCACTGTATTGCTGTCCCTTACTTAACTTCCTTCGGATTTAAAAAAAGGAACTGAAATGAGTCTGTAGCAAGTCTTCCTCTCACTTTCTTCAAGGTTTGCTACATAGTTTAGATGTGGTCAGCTGTTAATGACTTTCTGTTCTCTTTGATGTCAGTAGTTCTTTTGCTGTACTAAATAGAAAAAAACCTTTAATTTGTCATTGAAATTTTACAGCCTCTGCAGTCAGAGGCTTTCTAACACCCTGCATTACAGTCCTGTGTTCACAAGCTGTCAGAACATCAGGTCTATGAGACAGCACTGCTAGAGCCCACTGAGCAGAACCTCCTGAAATTACTATTATTTGACATTTATTAAGCCTCTGCTTTCCAGAAACTAGGTATTCAGTTGCTAGCAGTAGTGTGGGTGCAGAAGCATCAAAGCAAGCAGATCACTGTAAAAGTAGCATCCATGCTACATCCCAGCTGGATGGCTGCAGCCTATTTTGCTCTTCCTTGTAATTTTGCTTCTCTACAGCCTCTCTTGGCAGGTGACTGCTACAAAAGTCAGGAAGTTGCCAGACAGAAAACGGAACAAAAGGACTTCTCTCTCCTAACCCTTCCTTGTTTGATTCGCTGCAAAAGAACTTTCCACCTGCACTCTCTCTTTTTAATAGACACTGCTTTTATTATTGTCAGATGTGGAAAATCCTTGATAAATGGGTACATAATACAAACAAATGGCTACAGCTTGGGACATGAAGACTTGTTCAGCAGGCTGCTTTCGTTTGGAATCAATTTAACTGAATCTTACCTTTCCAGGAGATAACATAATTCAAGGTAAAACAGTTAAGTGCAAACATTTAAAATGCCCTCCTTGGCACCTGATAGTTGCTTTTTTCAATACTGGCAGATGGAAGGGAGACAGTTACTTGGTGTATTTTGAATTACAAGATGGAGGAAAGTGTGGCATAAGGTAGGATATTGCCGATTACTACAAAAATCCTTTTCTCCGTTTGAAGTACTTTGCCTTTACAGTGGTGCCTTTAATTTCTTTGGTGTGATGCCTCTGATCAACTGCTTGTGATCAGAGCCCAGGTTGAATGGTGGTTACAGTAACCATGTGTACATCCTGTGCCCTGGTAGACAGTCTGGTGTGTTCCTCTGTAACACCCAAGTCGTAGTGTAGCTATTGCAGGTTCTCAGTTGGTACTTGCTTGAGTTTAAACAGGAGAGCAAAAGCTTCATCATCGCATCTTAACTCAAGTTTCAATAGAAATGTATAATCATGTAATGTTTTATTACTACTTGTACTATCTGGATTGGCAGGTAAAGCTTGGGAGAGAAACAAAAGCTAGCTTTTCAATTTGAACAAGGGATCCTATGCCAAACATTGAAATCATGCAAAAATCTTCTCACTGCAAGGTTAGGCCAAGCTGCATAGAGCCAAGTACAACTAAGAACTATAATGGATACTAGGAAAAAGGCATTTTACTGAATTAGAGTTCAGATTTGTCTTGGAGACATGCCAATAGGTTCTTTTCTAGCATATATGAAGCAGTTGCTCCAATGTATGTGAGAGCTAATGGTCACATCTGTCACAGGAGATGAGCTCGCCTATCTAGCATCGTTAAGGGCAGAAGTTTCGCTTTTGAAGCAAAAGTAGCTTACTGTACAGCTTGTTCTATAAAGCAGTGTTACTGTGATGGTTCTTCCATTTTAAGAACTGCCAAAGTTAATGGGCAAAAAGGTAGGAGTAGCTGTGGCCCTCTTGGTGACAAGACTAGGCAAAGGACAGGCATGCTTTGCTCTGGGCGGTAGAAAGGCAGTGGTTTCTGGAATAGCAGGGCAATAGCGCTCTGTCCTAATGCAAATGTCTGGGTACAAAGCATCCATACTAACTGAAACACTCTCATCCTAGCTATTACTTCTAAGTTAGTTGCTGTCTCCTTTCTACCACCCCCCAAAGCTAGTGGTCTAGTGATTACGGGAGAAGACAACATAAACATCTTCTGCAAGGGACTGGAATGTACAGACTGAACAGAATGATATGTCTGTCTGAAACAGAGGGTACTAAACGCCTGTGAACCAGGATCTCAGGTCCTGGTTAATGCAACATGCCATTCAAATGGGAATGTTTAATTGTGGTTAAAATAAACAGGTGCCTTGGGCTGGTCCATCATTAGGTTGTTATCCTTCCTTTTCCTTTATGTTACAGTATTTTAAGCCCTTGTAGAATGGACTGTAAGTTGAAGCCAGGATAAGTGTTTTCACAAGTGGGACCTAGGAGTCTACTCCTCCTCCTCCTTCCTGTCTTGGAGTTCATACAAAGAAAGTTGTTTGTCTTGCTGTCAGACAGAAATATGAGAACTGAGTCCTTTCCTCAACACTGTAGATGGCAGGTTCAGCCTCTGCTTATTTTATGTAATACTTTCCTCACACCTCCCCTCTGAATGTTGCAATTCAGAGGTCTAGAACCACCCCATACTGGAAGACCTCTGAACTGCAGAGGAAGGGGAAAAAAATTACTTGAATGGTATTTATACAAGCTACTCAAATTATGCTGATATGAATATTTAAGTATCAGCCTGTGTCTCAGATGATCCTTGGTACTTTAACATCAGAACAGCATTAACAATACCGATTCTGAAGGGAGCTCTTGGTTACCCTCAAGCAAGGAATCACATTGCAATGGGAGCCATGCATCTGATACTATGGAAGCGAATTAGTCATTTTCCCTGTAAAATGGTACAGATGAACCAGAAGCTAGTTCTTATCATCTTGCCCCTTGCAGCAGGCTGGTTGTAGTTCTAACAGCTCTGATGTTGTTTGCATCTTGCAGATGTGTGGTTGCTCCCATAGGCCTGTGGCTGTGTAGAGAAACTGCTTACTAAAACATGGGTATTTTTTAATACAATTAAAGCTTACCTTTTTGAAATGGCTGCTGCCTTGTCTTTCCTGCCACTTGAGGAAAAAAAAAAAACAACATCGCTGATTTTATTACAGAAGCATCAGCTTGAGGAAAAACTCAGTTGGTGAGAACTGCCCCTGACTCTGACTGAGCCAGTGGCTGCAGAGCAACGTTCCAGGTATCTCTGTGGCAAGCAAAAAGAGCAGAGCAGAGCCAACGTGTTCCTTGGAGAGTGACCCAGGGGTCCAGTGGGCACTTTTAATTGCTGCAGATCAAAAGAAAGCACAACACAGGCCCTATCACCAGCATAACTATTAAAAAGAAGTGGCAGGCTTCTACTCCCCTGGATCTTAGTCAAGAAAGGGATGAGTGCTTGCCCCAACAGCTTAGGTAATTAGTGTCTCCACAGTATAATCAAGGGAAGGACAGCATTCAGTTTGGCTCCAGCATCGTGCAGAAAGCCAACCCTGCGTCCCCTTTCAACGCATTTTCCCTTCAGCGAGTCTCCAGCAGGTGGTGCTGTTGCAGCAGCACCCAGCCAGGATGCAGTCCTTAACACAGCTGCTGGAAGTCAATTCATTGATGTCCTTCTTTTGATTGTAGCAAGGAACCAACAGATGAACTTAAGACTAGATCACAGTGTAACACAGGGACTACGTACAAACAACGACCACATCAGAAAAATAAGGAGCAATTTTTTTTCTTCCAGTAAGCCAGGCAGAATCATGTGAACTTGTAAGTTATAGTAAGAAGGGCAACAGATAACCTTGCCTAAGTCAATAGTTATTTCCTTTCAGCAATTAAAGCAAAGCTATAAACAAAAGCTTGGAAAAGCAACAAAACTAATTACGGCACTGAGGCTCGAGGGGATGCAGGTTGCATAAGGAGTGGTGAGCACTGTTTACATTAGAGAAGAGCAACCAGTCACAATGAATAATAAGTTATTTGGATGCCCTTATTTGTGTTATATTACTACAGGAATAAAAGGAATACTTACAAAGAAAGACTCATTTGGCTTGTTAAAGAGTCTTTTCACATGTACTTCATACAGCTTTGGGTCAATGATGACATTTTCCAATTTGCTTCTGTGTAATATACCTAAATGTGATCAAGGGAATGTATTTCTAATACATTATTAACTGGAAATCTGTGCTATTGAATCTGGCAAGATTAAAAAAAAAAAATAAAATCTTATGCAGATACATATGGGGAATTTTTAAACTTCCCCTGAAGCTTTGTATCACTGATCTCCAATTTATTTTGTGACAGAGTAGATAACCAACCACCTGTTTTCATGTGGCAATTCCAACATTTCGTAGACTTCCTAGCATTACTCCCCAAAAATAAATTTTTTCCAAGATCCTGGGTTTTGCAAGATTTATACATAGATAAAGTAGACCTAAACTCTTAAAACACAGCGACAAGTGTGCTTTCATTTTACTTTAATATACAATTGCATTAAAGCAGTAACATCTGGCAGACAGCACTCAGCCTGCAGTGCTGTAAATGAAACACTGATGACTTCTTTGGGGAAAAAACAAGATGCCATCAAGTCAACATGCACTTCTCAGAATTTTCATTTGCCTTTTTAACCCCTTTGAGACTAGTCAAATCAGCCACTTCCAATGGAAGTACCTTGTGCATAAAAAATAGCCAAATGGCTTATTAGTCTGGTGGGGTTAATCACGTTAGTGAGGTCTCATGTGCCTTGAAGAGACCCTGATAAGACTGGTAAACACTGGCCCCTTCGACATGAATTCTCATTGTACTGCTGCATGGAGCATCTGCTCTCTCATTCTGGGATCACAGAAGAACTGGAGTTTCCGGGGTAATAGCTTCACCTCCACAGGCATAGCTTCATACTCCTCATTATCAATGCCAAAGGATCCCTCGGTGCCCTGTGCACAGATAACAGCGCTGATCAGGCTTAAACATCAAACATATTATTTCAGCAATGATGTAATATTGATACCTGATTTTACTAATAGACTACAGTTGAATACTTAGCTGAGTCTTAACCAAGATGACCCCCTCCCTATGCCTTCCAGCCCATTTGATCTCAACAACACAGTGAGAGCAGTTCTTCACTGCACATAATATATTAAGAGTCTGTTGCATAAGATGTTACCTCACTTAGCTGCTAATTGGTGATAATTAAATGCTAGGGAGCTTTAATGACCCACATTGTTTACACGGAAGGATTCTTTGCTATTGGAACTACAATTATACGCACTTAGATCTTGGTCTGCCAGTGGTGACACAAGCTAATCTGCAGAAGTGCCTGTTAAATAACTCCTATTAAATCCATGTTACAAACACCTTTTGGTATTGTTTTACTATATTGATCTGAAACGTGAGATGCAAAGTAATTCATGGGTCAGGCATTACTGAGCAGTAGAATTTTCTGATGCATTTTCTTTAATGCTGATAAAGTCACCAATGATTAAAACCATTCATTAACAAGGCAGGTTGACTTTACCTGAAGAAATTTGATGACTGCTTTGCATGCACTTGACTCAAGGTAGGACTGTGTTACATGGATACTCAAACTATCTCCAAGTGAACTCGTACACCAGAACAGCACAAATTAGAGAATGTAGCATAGGTTCTGGAAGTCGGAGGTACAGCAGTCACCTGGTTCAACATATCCCACTTCTCTGCAAAGCTGGCGAGACTCATCTCGCTGCCAGTTCCTTCATCAGAGCTAGGTCACGGAGTCAAACAGCACTGCTTTGTGCCATGCATACACACTCTGAAGATCTTAGCCACAGATGCAGTATGAACAGCTCATTTTATACCACAACCCTTACTTATGGCTCAGCTGTACTTAGCCCAGTGCTCCAGAGTATTCTTTCAGAATCACAAAATTGCCATGATATGAGTTTGATGCAAGCATTAGGATGCTGGCTAATCATGACATCGTAATTCATGATTTTCACTTGGTAGCAACAGATTTTTTTCACCTTTTGGCACACTCTATTCTCCCTTAATATGCAATTATTTTGCCGACTGATAGATCACTGGAAGATACAAATTATCTATGAGATCGATTTCATATCCTTGTAAAAACAAGAAACTGTCCTCCCCGAGGCCGCGATAACAGCCTCTTCTTTCTAACAGGCAACAAAAGACTAATCTAAATTGTGTAGGCAGACAAAGTTCTGGCTTCTTTTTCAGCCTCATCTATTCAAAGTTTTGAGACACTTCCCTATAGTGATCTGAGTCCCACTGCCTTGTCACACCCTCCTTGGTCTCCACAAAGCTTCTAATATTTATCTTCTTCTCTACAGCACAATCCCCTCTAGGGTAAAATGTACACATCTTCAACACTAAGCAGAAGAAGGTGTGCATATGCAATACAGCTGAGTAAAGGACCCTTTACAACCACCACCTCTGTCTACATAAAAGGTCTGCCACTATTTACTGGCAGAATGAAACTCCCCCTCTGGTTTATAGACTACTTGGGAAATTCCAGCATGTGTCTCCTGGCCAGGGACTCAGTTGCTGCACTGAGGAACTGAGTGTCTCACTGGCAGTGTAATCAACCTCCCAGATTTGGAGTAGGGATTTCTTAATGCCCAGCATCAACTGGTACAAGGAAATAAAGTGACCAGAGTTTTCCAGCTACCTCAGCTTCTCACCTCTGGAAGTTGCAAGATGCATCTGCTGGCCTGGATGTGCTGACTCCCTTCAGGGCACGTATGTGGATCACGCATCTTTTGACTTCTGTTCAAACCAAAAGAGAGGTAAGGTAAGGAGGGATTTCTCTCGGAAACGGCCATCTTTAGGGATGACATGTCATTATGGGTTGGTAAATCACTATGCCTTTGGTAAACTTAGAGGTTATATATATACAAATATTTGTGGGTTTAACTGTGAGAAAGTAAAATAGATCAGTATGCACTGACAGCCTCCAACCAGCTTCTGCTCTGAGGCTCACTGAATATATTTGAACATACAGTTTTGTATATTTGAACATACAGCACAGTTTTGTATTCCTCACTTACATGCTGAACTGTACAAATCTTGCAATGACTACTATCTCCTTATATCCCATGCACCCACATATCCTGCCAGCAACCTAAACAACCCTAAGCCAAAAAACTGATGGAATTATAGTTATATTGAACGACTAAACTACCATTTAAAAACCAACCAACCAACCCAACAAAACCCCCTCTTCTCACATCAACACCAGTCAGCATGATGTTTCTTACCAGCTGCTTTTATATCATTCTTGTGAACAAGCCCCCAGAACATCATAATTTTATCCATTCCAAATAATATATCAGTTTTTGTCAGTTACTCTCTTTCTTCTGGTGCCTGTGAGATTCTTATTTATATACTGTACTTAGAGAAGTGCTACTTTCCTACTTCCGTGGATGTCAAATAGAAGCACACAGAAGGCAGTTGCCAGTCTTAGAAAGCCAGTGGTGCAAGTGCCATGTGGTCTTCTTCAAGACTTAGGCTGCTGTCCTGTCACTGGATCAACTGTTAAAAAATAGTGCATTGCCATTCCTTTTCCCAACGTGTGCTGCTGCAGAGTAAGCACAAGTTCTTGGGTACGCTGACCTACCTCTGGCCTCCTGACTGAAAACACACATAACCTTTTGGCTGACCTTTGACAAAGGCTACACTGCTCCCCAGGCAGTAACCCCTCAGTTTGGGACCCTCTCCACACACAGCAACACACAAATAGCAAAAGGGTCAGCAGAGAGTTACAGCATTAATGTATTACAGCTCTTAAGCACAAGCAGAATTATCAGAGATATTCCTCCAACAGGCAATGCCAGCTGTCCCCAACTTTTCTGTCTAGTCTGTAGACTGATATGAAAGAAGAGTGTATTTAAATATTGCCCAGGAAAAGAAGTCACAAAAACATGTCAGAAACTCCCTATACACCAAGCCTTCTATGCCCTGAGGAATACAAGTCCCTCTTAAATTCACAGAAAATCCCAGAGAACTAACATGAGAAGAGAGGGTTGAAACAGAAGATGATAATCAAAGACAAAGGAAGAAAAGCTAAGATACCAAAGGAAAGGGCAGGGAAGGACAGGAGCAACATTAACTGTGGAAACTTTGATTTTAATCAAATATGTATATACTAAAAGATTAATGAGTGAATGTGAGGGAATTAAACATCCTCCTGGCAATATAAATCATAAATCATTGATGGCATGCAATACTGTCAGTTTATACAGTGCTGTACAAACAAGCAGCAAGATTTCCCACTTGAAGTTTAACCTGCTCAAAGTTTAACACACAAGGTCCTAGATATTGCTCTGGTGAGCAAGGAGATTTTTTTGGTCCATGAAGGTAAATGAGGCTCTACATAGATGCATTTACGGGCTCACAGTAAGCTCAAAAGAGACAAGACATGGAACTAAAGATCAGTCAAAGGAGAATGCTGGTAGAAGCAAATAGACACACCTCCACTTACAGTGATTGCCACTCTAGTGACCCAGTATAAAAGGATCAGAAATCATTTCCATTTGATTCTGCTCCTTACGACAAGACAGCAAAGTGAAACAGGAACAAGACCAAAGCCTAACAGCAATAGATTCAATTGATTGATTTATCCCACTCCATATGCTGAATCACAAAAATACAGGCAGAGAGAGAACCACAACACCTACCACAGATAACAAACAATTTTAGCCTAGCTTTTGTCTCCAGAAGCAGCCAATGTTAAATGATTCAGAGTAAGAGATCTAACAAAAAAAAAAGTTTTCTGCACCATAGCTGGTAACTGTATTCATGCCCTAGAGTGACAGCTCTCCATACTTTCACATATACAGAATCTAAGCTGCCTACCAGGATGTGGATTACCAGTGCTACACTTTCCATCCCCACCCTCCTTCCCTCCAGCACTTCTTAGTAAGCACTACAGCGTAACCACCTGTTCTTCCCCCACCTTATCTTAAACATCAGCTCTACCCTTGTGGCAAGATGCTCTTGTTCACACAAATCTGATCCACAGCTGGAGAATACTTTTATACACTTGGGATGACCTACTCCTTTCTTTGAAATCCAACAGCAGTTGCCCTCCAGCATTCTGATGCACCCCCCCGCCCCCAACACACACACACTGCTTGAGCCTGCACGATAGTTTTCCGCTGGATGTGTGGTTTTCCTCTGTGTGATCTATCAGTTCTGACCAGCTCACGTCAGTGCTCTCTTCAATATATAAAACCCTTGATATCATAGAATCATTTAGGTTGGAAAAGACCTTTAAGATCATCAAGTCCAACCGTAAACCGAGCGCTGCCAAGTCCACCACTAAACCACGTCCCTAAGCACCACATCTACACATCTTTTAAATACCTGCAGGGATGGTGACTCAACCACTTCCCTGGGCAGCCTGTTCCAATGCTTGACAACCCTTTCAGTGAAGAAATTTTCCTAATATCCAATATCCAGTAACTCCTGCACAAAGATCCTTTTGCCCCTTTCAGACAGGTGAACCCTGTCTGTTGCTAGCAGGCCTGGTGTTGTATAAACCAACCAATGACGAAAAAAGCCACAATTTTGCTGCTGACACCAGGCTTGGAGCCAGGTATTGATCTGCTGGCTCTTCCTATTTCTTCCCTCATCATTCCGTGCAACTGGAAGCATAGAGGAGAACACTGCTTCTGCTCCTGATCCCTTAACCAGTTGTCCCAAGGCCCTGAAGTCTGTCTTGATTGCCCTCAGACTTCTTGTCACAACTTCATTGCTGCCTACCTGAAAAATCAATAATGAGAAATAATCTGAGAGCTGTACCAGGGTAGGAAGCTTCCTCTTCACATCTTTAACCTGGGCCCCAGGGAGGCAGCAGACTTCCCTAAGAGGTGGGTCCGGTCTGCATGTTGGGTCTCCTGTTGCCCTCAGGAGAGAGTCTCCTACGACAGTGACCCATCTTTTTTTCTTTATGGAAGCAGTTTTGACACAGGGCATAGGCCAACTTAACCTCAGCAACACCCCCACGCTAGATGAACTGTATCTGCACTGATAAGGTATTTTCCCTGAAAACGTTTTCAACCCCCTAAATTCTGGTGGAATTTAAAACTATGCATTAAAAAACAAGAAAAAGAAAGAGCTTCTTCACACATTTCCAAAGACAAATGCTGTTGGTGCTAGGCAATGGGGAGCCTCTAATCATGGGCTTGATTCAAATCTGGCTGCCCAAGGGCATTGTGTGTCGTACAGCTTCTCTGGAGACCCTGATTTTGTTCTGCAAAAACAGGGCACATTTTTTTCTGTTCTGACTCCTCTGGGTAGGACCAACTAGTCTCTCCCACTGCTCCCCCACCCTATACAACCCTCTTTCTTTGTTACCTACAGACTTTTGGGCACTATTTAATCAAAGAGCTTGTTTCTTTGAACTTTGCTTGAACAGCAGCTCAAAGCTTTTGGTACTGCCTCTAATTAGCTCTAGTCAGCAGGGCATGTTAACTCTCATCAGAGGTTTTTTCTGCATGACAGTGTAATTGCAGTCAGAAAATGTGACATACTACTGCGTGAAGCATGTCCAGTCCACATGGGAGACATTCTTTACAGTGAGTGTACACTTGAATAACCCTCCCTTAAATCACACAAATTCATCCACATTTTTTCTGCTAGCAAAGTGTCCAAGAACTCAGCATAGTCTTTGTCTCCCTCCTGTAAGAGGCCAGATTACTCTTGCTGCTAATGGGAAAATCTCCTCCTCCTTTCCTTCTGTAGCCTTCAAAACAAAGATTCCAGTCCCAAGCAAGCTATGGTCCACATGGCTCATGCAATTTAAAAGTGGTTGCCGGGACTAACCTGACCTACTGTGTACGTATAGTTCAGAAGTTCCTATACCCACTGAGACTTGTGGGATGCTCAAATAAATGGTCTTCTGCTGCTATTAGTATGATAAACAAGACATATATGCAGGAATTATTAGAGTGATGACAAGCACTAAAACTGTGTTGCAACCTTTCCATTGATTTCCCTAGATGGAGCTCTAAGACTAGAAAACAGTTTTAGCAAATAAAAAGGTAATGGGCAGAACAGCCGTCTTGGATTTAGCAGGCAAATCTGTTGCTGGTAAAAACTGCACTGAAGACACAATGTATTTGCTAGTGGGATTGTATGGAAGAGCTGGAAAAAGCAGCTCAGATTTGTGTCTGGTGAGCGCAGGAGGAACAAGCACACTACAAGACAACGTTCCAAGCACAAAGGAAGCAATACACATTCACTTTTTCTCTACACGCTGCTTCTTCACACCTGCAGCCTTCTTACTCCACATACAAGCAGCACCAATGCATTCGCTTAAAGTCTCTGTTTAAATTCACATCTTCCAAAAGTTCTTCCAGCTCAGCCCTGATTTCTCACAAGAGTTATTGAGTCAAGGGAGCTCTTCACTTTGAAGCAGGGCCTGTCTAATCAGAGTTCAAAAAAATTCCAAGTATCACTAGCACAAACCTAACAGCTCTGTGATCCTCCTCTCAATCCACTGAGCAGCTAGGACTAAAAGATTCTGAGGATAAGTCTGTATGGCTGTCTATAAAACTCAGTTATAACAGTATTATCCAGGTAGCACCAATCAATAGCAACGGGGAAAAAGATGAAAGGTATAGCAAACTCAGAAGTAGGAAGAACTCCAGGTACACTGCTCTGCCTTGTTTCCAGAAAGAGAAAATCAGTAAGAATTTTAAAGAACAAAATCAGTAATCCCCATGAAGCATTACTGACTGGTGTCCTTTGCAGTCCTCTGCTTCTGAATTTTGCAACACAAGATCAGAGAAAAAGAGCACACTTGTTAGAATTAGCGTTCCGACTCATACAGAGATTCTGTCATCTTTTTGCAGCCTTCCCATACTCACCCTCTGTTTACAAACTCTCCTTTGCTGACAGTATCTGCTTCAATGCAGATATCCATGAAGTCTTCAGTGCGCTATGCAAAAAAAATTCAGAAATCAAGCAGTTAACATTTCAAAATGCCACACCCATGATACTGCAATAGGTTCACAAAATGCCCAGTCCTTTGTCCCACAAAAGGAGGCAGAAGATGCATTTCTGCATTTTATGCTTTTTTCGACTCTCGAGTTAGATTATAAATTACAGATAGTAATTTCTCAGTGATGACTATTCAACAATAAATACTGCAAGAAGTGAAATAATGATTCCCACATTTGGCTTCTTGTTACATTTCACACACTTATTAAAGACAGTAATAGCAGATCACTTGGGTTTATCTGTGTTCACAAAGATTTCTAATCAATAGGTCTTTCATGAATTTAGGCAATAGTACAATGATATAACATTTGGCCACCAAACACTATAGTAAGAGAATTTTAAACAATACAAATTGGAAGTCAAATTGTTCTTGATAACATCCTTTTAAACTCCTTACTTAGCTTCTTTTCTGTTTACAGCCTGCCCTTAAACCAAGTATACAGTAAAGCTTTTGCTGGGAAAGCAACTTTGATTAAGATGCAATTAATTTTTTATTTATTTTATTTATTT